CCTTACGCGGCCGAGTTTCCCATCTTCCCGCAGCTGGTAAGGAAAAAAAGAAAGAAAAGAAAAGAACGCGCCTCCCTTTCCTCCCCCGGAGCCCCTCCAAAACCCCCGACTTTTCCCGTCCCCTCCGGTTCCCTTCCTTGCAAACTTGCAAAAGCGGGAGCGGGTTTGAAGCCGGAGCAAGGCTGGGGAAGCTTTGGCGCGGGGACTCGATCCTTCGTGGCTTCCTCACCCGAGAGAGAGAGGAGCCAGCCTGCAAACGAGCTTCAAGGATTTTTTTTTTCCCCTTTCTTTTTCCTTTTCTTTTCCTCTCTCTCTCTCTCTCTCCCTCTTTTTTTTCCGTGCAACAAAGGAAAAAAAAAAAGGGAAACTTCCCGATTTTATAGAAGGAGCGATTTTGCTTGCCCCCCCCCCCCCGGTTTTCCTTTTTCTGGGCTTTTTTGTAAAAACAAAAACCAAAACCTAGCAACCGAATTTTTCAAGCCAATCGTTTGATGGGACGTTTTGAAGATCGTTCCCGGGCGGAGAATCTTTCTGGGTTTCTTCGAGTTTTCTGGGCCGGCGGGGAGGGGGAGGTTTACGCAGGGGGTGTGGGGAGGGGGGCGTAGGAAGACGGGCGGGGGAGGGAACCCACCTTCGGGCGCTCACCCGAGAAGTTCGGCTGCTTTCCTGCAAAGCAGCCGGCAAGGTAAACCTCCGGCAGGGTTGGGAATCCGGGTTTTAAAATCTCTCTGAAAACAGGACAAAAGCTTTCGTGAATAGTTTGGGCAAAAACTTTGGGACACCCCGGGTTTTATTAGCTTCAGATATATCGACGAATAAATGGCATTTTTTTTTTAAAGGTAATAATAGGAAGAGTCCCTTTAGGAAGGCGAGAGAAATAATAGGAAAGAGTAAAAGTTCAGGCGGATTTCATTCCCCTAATAAAAAGGTCGGGAAGAGGAAAAAAAAGTTGGAGAGCGGCTGTTTGGTTTGTTTAAAATGCTTTTGAAAGGAAAGAGAGAGAGAGAGAGAAAGGAAGGGAGAAAGAAAGAAAGAAAGAAAGAAAGAAAGAAAGAAAGAAAGAAAGA